CTACTCTATAGAGACAGAAGCATTATTGATGCTACAAATGGAGGTGCCTTAGTGAACAAAACTCTTCGAGAGGAATTAATTAAAGGAATGGCAGAAAACTCACAACAGTTTGGCACACGAGAGGATGTCCCAACTCGCTGAATGAACGAGATGAACATTGCATCACTTCAAGAACAATTATCTAAGCTAACTTCTATGATTCAACAAATGGCAATAGGAAACGTGCAGCAAGTCAAAGCATGCCGAATTTGCAAGAATACTAATCACCCTACTAATGGATTCCAATGCTGCAAGATGATGTGCTGAGTAGATGAACGTGACTGGTAACGTGCCTGTGCCATGTAGACAATATGATCTATACTCCAATACCTATAATTAGGGTTGGATGGATCATCAAAACCTTAGCTATTGAGGGAACAAGCAATTGAATTTTTTCCAAAATAGATAGCATTGGTTCCAGCCATAGTATCTATCAAGACCTCAACCCTCTTTTTCTAATTCAGGAATATCTCTTGAAGACATAGTCAAGCTATTAGTTTCTAGCACCTTGCAGATCTAGTAAAAGACAGAGGCGAGCATACAAAATCTGAAAAATTAGATGAGTCAGATGGCATCTGCAATAAACTGCTCGGAGTCTCAAGAGAAAGGAAGACTTTCCTCTCAACCTGAGGTGAATCCGAAAAACATTAGTGCCATAACCCTCAAAATGGGAAAGAGATTAAAGAGCCAAAACCTATAGTTTCCAAGGATAAGAGCGAGAATCAAATTGAAAAGGAGTTGGAAGAAGAAGGAATAAGCAAGGAACTTCTGAAGTAATTTCTAAACCTTTAATTAAAGTTAATACTAACCCATCACCTTTTCCTAGTAGGTTGAAGAAGCCAAAAAGGCAAGACAAAGAGAAGGAGATTCTAGACGTATTCCAAAAAGTGGCAATCAATATCCCTTTGTTAGACGCGATTAAACAAGTACCAAAATATGCTAAATTCTTGAAGAACTTATGTGTTAACAAAAAGAAATTAAGAGGGGATGAGGAAATTATGGTAGATGAAAATGTCTCAGTGATTTTACAAAGAAAACTACCACCTAAATGCGGGAATCAAAGTATATTTACTATCCCCTGTAAAATAGGACATTCCAGAATTAAGAATACCATATTAGATTTAAGGGCTTCTATTAATGTGATGTCCAAATATATTTATAATTCCCTAAATCTAGGACCTTTGAAAGAAACAGAGATAATAATTCAATTAACTGATCGCACATTTGCTTATTCGGATGGAGTAATTGAGGATTTTTTAGTTCAACTAGATGGATTAGTTTTTCCTGTTGATTTCTATGTGTTTTACATGGATGATGAACACTTTTCAAGTCCATCACCAATTATATTAAGGAGACCATTCTTGAGTACTATCCAAACTAAGATTCATTTTAGTAAGAGTACACTTACGATAGAATTTGGTGGAGAAGTAGTTCATTTTAATATTTTTGATGAAACGAAACATTCTATTAACTTTCATTCTGTGTTTTCTATTCATGCTATTAATCCCTCTGTGTGAGAATTTTGAGTTTACTTATAGGGGTAAGTTGAAAGTTACTGCAAACAAACATCATGGATTGAAAGTAACTTATGATGTGAAAATGGGCAAAAAGTTAAAGAAGATGGTTGCAGTAATGGTGATTTAGATCCTAAAGAAATTCCACCCATTGCAAGAAAGTTTGAATTACAATCGGATTGAGAAATAATGCTTTATGTCTAGCCAAAGACATTAAAGAAAGGCGCTTATTGGGAGGCAACCCAATTTCTTTTAGTTTATTTTGATTTTAGGTTTCTTGTGTTTTATACGTTTGATTTTGATTTTATTGTTTTAGTGGACAGAAGACTACTACCACATAAGGTGTGCTCGTGCCTAACTGGCTAATGAGTTCTAAAGATATGTTTAGAAATTTCAGAAAACTACTGGTTGACAAGACGTATCCACATCCATGAATCGTGCTGAAATTGATGAATTAAAATTTTTTACCAGAAAACTCCTTATGTTTTAGGCATACCCTCATCTAAATTGATTGAAAAATTTGGTAGCTACTTTCATCATATTAGATTCACCCCACTTTTTGTTGCTGATCTTTAGCCATATTGTGCTCTTTTCCATTTTTAGGGAAGTTTTGTTGTCCCTTTAACTAATTTTTTGTTCTTTATTTCTTACATTGGGGGCAATATAAGATTTAGGTGTGTGGGGTGGTATATTAGTGAAGTAAGAGTGTTAACCATTATGGCATTTTTGTTGAAGTTTTTATTCAAAATTTTCAAATTTTATCTAATTTTTGCCATTTCTTGTGCAATTTTATAGTTATCCCTAATAAGCGATGGCTAGATTCTCAAAACTTACTGTTGTTAAGATTTTATATGATAATGTGATAAGTATGACATGACAAAGTTTAAGGATGTTGATAAGTGCATATTTTGCGCGTTTTAAGTGTGTTTTATTAGTTATTTTTGGTGTATTTTATTTAGTTTTATTGCCAATTAACTCAGATTTTAGTGAAAATATACATTTTATGGTTTAAGTGGTAAAAATTGCATTTCTATGGATTTTAATGGTAAAAACTTCATGCATTTGCAAGTTTAATGATTCAATCATCAAATGGCATGAAATGAGAAGATAATTGGATGATTGTTGATGGTTTGAAGTGATAAAAAGAGGACAAGAAGTGCAAAATAATCAAAGGAAGAAATGCAAAGTTTTCCAGCTTTGACATATTATGGTATTTTAGCTATATCTTGAGCTACACACATCAAATTGAGGTGATTCTTATATCATTTTGAAGCTAAGAGATAGATCGATATTTGATAAGAAGACATCAAAGTCCAGTTCAGTCGTTTTCCTTATCAAAAAGTTGAAATACAGAAGTGCATGTGCATGGTCGAAAGTTGAAATAGAACTCTGACCAGTCGAGGATATTTTGGTCATTTCTCGATCCACAGAGCTCCAAATTGGATGATTATTGAAGCATTGGAAAGCTAACTCAAAGGGCTATAACTTTCGCCATCATTGAGATAATATCAGTTGACGTGGAGCTAAATTCATAGAGGTGAAAATGCAAGATGGCAATATGCAACCTTAAGTCGCGTATTCATGAAGTCGCATATTATGGCCTACTTTCTGCAACTTGCTTTGCCACTTGTTCTATTTTCACATTGTTTTTCAGCTCTACTTCTGAATAGAATTTTGGCTGCACATGCTGAAGATTCTAAAAGGAAAAGAAAAGGAGCTTTATGTCTTGTCTAAAAATCATTAGAAAGGTGGAGAAGAGGATATTACAACGAATTCTCATCAGATTTTAGCATTAGAGCTTAGTTTTAGTCTTGTTTTGTTCTCTGTAGTTAGAACATTATGAGAACAATAGGAAACTTCATTGTACAACTCATTTTTGTTGAAGAAATAGAAGATCATTGGGAGCTTCTTCACTTTTTGGCTAAACTTTCTTTATCTATCTTTTACTTGTAATTCAATATGTGTTCGTACAATGAAGCTACTTTCTTTCTTGTCATTTATCATATGAGTAGCTAAATTTCTAGATCTAGGAAGTAGATGAAACTTATGGCTATTTGATATGAATTGAATATGATTTACACTTGTTACACCTTATATTAACTTGTCTATTATGCATGCTTATCACTTATTGTTGCTTGATCACCAATAGCAAGTTATTAGTTGTTATTAATCAATGAAAGTTGGTAATAATGATGGAATAACATAAATACAGCTTAAGTAGTATACTCATGAGAATAGAGATACACTTAAGTGGATTAACCTTGCATTTCATGAAGGAAACAAGAGTAGATCTAGTTATTCACCATGAGAATAGGGAAAACTAGTCTAGTTTAGGTCATTTCATCATGAGAATGAGATTTGGAATATTAGAAATGAATCTCTAGTTAAACAAAAGTTGTAAAAAGAGGTAAATGTATTTACTTGTATCTTTGATGCCATAAGTGGAATCTACGTCCCTAGACTCAAGCATTTAGTGAGTTTTCTCCATTGTTACCTTGCAAATAATCTAGTTAAGACTAGTTAGGGAGTAGTAATTACAATTTCTCCTGTTTTAATTGATTATTAGTCCAAATAATAGAGTAAGTAAGGTCTTAGTACTTGTAAAGTTGCTCCCTATGGGATTGACCCGACTTATACCCTAAACTACTAGTTGACTTGTATACTTGCAACAAAACAGGTATAATTTGGAATAAACTTGCACTCATATCTAAAAACTCGTCAAGCTTTTGGAGCCATTGCCGGAGAGTGGCAATATTAGGGCCTAACAAGTTTTATTAATTTAGACATTTTCTATTTTAGTTAGTTAAACTTGGTTATAGTTAAGTTAGAATTTTTATTAGTTTTTGTGAAATGATTATTACATAATCTCTTTTATTTTTTATTGTAATGTATGCACCGGGTTTTACGGGTAGTCGCACCTTTTGATCTGAAAATTGAAAGGACACTACATAGGCAAAGAATACGTACACCACAACAAGAAGAAGGAGAGGTGCAACAATAAATAGAGGGAATCGCTATAGACCTACCTTTGAAAATGAAATGGTAGAAAATGAAACAAATTGGCAAGCTCTGACAAGTAATTAATTCAAATTGGTAGATTTTGTTCTACCGAGAACCCAAGGATCTCAAACAAGTATAGCACAGCTGACGGTAAATACTAACAATTTTGAGATTAAACCATCGTTAATTCAAATGGTTCAATAATCTCAATTTGGAGGTAATGCCATAGAGGATCCAAATGCACACTGAACCACATTTTTGGAAATATGTGATACCATTAAAATGAATTGAATTAGTAAGGATGCTATAAGGCTAAGGTTGCTCCCGTTTTCCTTAAGAGATAAAGTTAAAATTTAGCTACACTCTCATGCTCCTAACACTTTCACTACTTGAAATGATTTGTTTAGGGCATTCTTGAATAAATACTTCCCATCGGGTAAAATAGATAAAATTAGAATGGACATTACTAGTTTTAGTCAATTAAATGGTGAATTATTATATGAATCACGGGAAAGGTTTAGATATTTGTTTCGGAAATGTCCATACCATGGACTTCTCAATTGCCTAATTGTACAAACCTTCTATAATCGTTTATCCTTTTCTACTAAAACGACTATTGATGCAGCTACAAGTGGAGATTTGATGGCAAAATCACCCGCAGAAACTCAAGGTTTGATAGAGGAAATGGCGGCAAACAATTATCAATGGGCTAACGAAAGAGGTAATCCAAGACGCCAAACAGGTATGATCGAAATGGATACCATCAATATACTTAGTACCCAAATGGGTAATATGATGAAAGTTAAGCAGACAATCCGGATGTGGTTCAAATTCATCGAATGTTCATGTAGGTTGTTGTTCCATATGCGGAGATGATTATAATACTAATGATTGTGTTGATCTCGAACAGGTTCAATTTGTTAATAATTACAATAGGAATGCTCAAAATAACCCAAACTCGAATACATACAATCCAGAGTGGAGAACTTATCCAAAATTTGGGTGGAAAGATCAAGGCAATCCTCAAAGGCCGGCTAATCCATTGGGATTCCTGCGACAACCCCACCTCTCCCTAGGGCGTACTGTGACGACCGGAAAATTTCCTTATATTTTTGGTAAAAATTCCCCTTTTATTTGGAAATTATTACTTTATAATAGCCCTACTACCCAATCACCCTACAATAAGTGCAAATGAACATTGAATTAAGGGTTTTCCTTTTTCGTTTTCAAGATTAGCGCAAATTAGGGTTTTACACCTTTTCATAGTATGACTAATCGGTACAGAGTGTGGATCAAATTTGGTGATTAAGAGTGAGTTTTAGATGACATTAAGTGTGTGATTAGAAGTGATAATAATAAGTTAGTGAATTATAAGTCAAAACCCTAGTATACGCGATTTAAGGAAAATCGACTCGAACCGACGGGTACCGTTTGTTACCGGGTAAACACACCACTTGACCCATACTTTATTACCTTAATCTTCTCATTTTATTTCAGCTAATTAACCCTAAAAAATATATCATACATCAGCCTAATATTTGACCAAGAAAAATGAGAGAAAATGCTACAAAGAAAACAAGTGTCAAGGCCTCTATGGAAGTTGGACTTTGACCAACTTGTTTTAACCATCATAAAACAAAAATTTGACCAAAATTCCTTCATTTTTCACTCTTGCTTGGCCGACCTATAGAGAGGAGAGAAGAGGGAAAAACTTCACCTTGTACCTTAATTTCAAGCCTCAATCTTGAGTTTCAACCGATAATCCTGCAAATTCCTCCACAAAAGTTGATCTCTAAGGAAGCTTAAGGGTTTTGGTGGAGTGATTTGGGAAAAGGAAGGTCTTGGCAGCTTCTTTACATAGGGATTAAGGTGAATTTGATAAGAAACTCCCCTCTACTTCTTATATGTGTAAACTAGAAGCTTAAAGTGGCAGTTTTGATGGATTTATGGGGAAAATTTCATGGGTTAAATGAAATGTGGGGATGTTTACCTAGGGTTTATATTTTCGGCCTTGATTATGGTTATCTACCTCTTAATTGATGTTATTGAGCTAGTAATTGGTGGCTTTGATGATAGAGCACTTGTTAGATATGAATTTATAGAGTAAAGGTGTAAATTTCAGAATTTGGAAACCAAGCTACCCTGTTCTGCCCGCTTCTGGTTGACCATGATGGAGGCCGAATTAGGCTTTCGCACAAAACATGAAAGTTGTAGGAAATGATGTTTTATAGTTTCTTGTAAAATTTCAGCTCAATCGGAGCACTGTAGCATGTGAAATGACCGAAATACCCTTGACTGCCCATAAGCCCTGTTTCACGGACAGTTTTCTGTCTTCGTGGAGATTTCCATTTTTGACTCTAAAAATGCATGATTTAGCTTTGGAGTCCTTGATAAGAAATGTAGGTATACGTCATGGCTTCGAAACGCCATAAGATACACCTCAATCGGATTTCAGTAGCCTGAGTTATTGTCTTTTAATCATAGCGCGGTTAACTAGTCTGATTGTGAGATGCTGGTTCTGTAATTTGAAATTTTGACCTAGATACGCTACGAACTGGACTGAGTGGTCTTCATCAAGGTTGTAGGCCTTTATCTTAACTTGGAAATGGTATAAATTACACCCCAATCTGACAAGCGTAGCTTCGGTTGTGTCTGTTCCGCTAAGCGACGTCAAATCTGTCTTTTGTTTTCTGACTTAAACTTCATTTCCGGACATTTTCCTAGCTTGATTTGTACTTGTACGGCTTTGAGCCTATTGAACGGCTATTGAAATGAGATTATTCTGTGTGTGACTTTGGAATTGATTGAGGAAAATAATGAAGCCATAAATTGCTGAAAAATAGATAAATACAGAGGGCATGCTACCCAAAATTTTAAGGCTACGCGATTCCTTCAAGTTGAGTTGATCTTGGTAAAAATGATAGGTTTAGGGAGTTGTTTGTAATCTTAGAACCAACTGTTATCTTTTTGCTCAAAAGTCATATTTTATTCTTTTGTACTAGTACTTAACCAGGGAAGGCATACGACTTGTAGTCGAGCCTCATTGATGCATTCCATTTACTGGGTTTGTGGATGTGCAAACTATAATTGTTTTATCTTGGTTATTTTAGGGTTTCTTGGCGATTCAAGCCACTTTGGGTAAAAACTTTTGAAATATATGTACTGGAACTGGTGAGTGTACCACTCCCCTCATTTGTTGTTTAATTTGGTTTCTGTACATGTAATCTGTGATATGAATGACTGTACTATCTGTTCATTCTATTTGAGACGAGAGTGTACTTTATCACAATCATTCCCTTATCCGTCTGTTTGCCTATGTACTGTGTGAATTTGGATCTGTTATCTGTATCTGTATCTGTATCTGTTCTGACGTCGTTTGGAGGCTTGTATTCAACGACTTTTCTGTGACCTCCGACCTCAAAACCTGTGGCTAGTTACTCGAGTCGAGCCGGCAAGGGTCAGGTCGATTAGATAACGAATCACAGTAGTCTGATTTGAAATTTTTGGGTATTGAGACCCTTGATTTCGGTATATTCGAGTAATACCACTTCTGTTACTGTTGAGGTGTTTGGGCCCGGTAGGGGAAAGTTTGGTGGACGGAATTTGGCGTAAAGCGGGGTCTACGGACATGGTTGTTCTTCATACGTTGACGGAGAGTCAATGGATTTGGATCAAGTACTGCAACAGGAATTTTGGGCTCTTGAGAGCCACCCGTATCCTTTCCATTTAAAATGTTTGTTTATTTTCGTATTGAATATGCCTATGTGACTAATGGAATATGAATTACCGTGATTCTAAACTGCTACTATGTTGGTACCTTATTGAGCGTAAGCTCACCCCGTTTCTGTTAACTTTGTTTCTTTACAAGAACTTCTTTTAGAAATCATGATTTTGGGACATGAGTGAGCTAGTTAGATATTCTTTTGTTCTTTGGTATAGCTCCTAGACAGTTGGAAACCCTAATGTATCAATCTAATGTTCTCTTTTGGATTTGTAAATCTAATACCCCATATATATATATATATATATATATGAAAGCATTTTCTCATATGTACATGGAATTTTACTTGAGTGTGTGTACTTTTTAATGTTAGTTAACATTTGCTTGTATTTGGTTGGATTTCGGACGCGCGAGAAATTTGGACAAGAAAAGAAGAAATTTCTGCCAGGCACTGTTCATAAGAATTCGGCAAGTATCTGGCCAGTTCATGGTCGGATATCTGGCCGGATAGGCAGGGGAAATTGAAAAGAATTTGGGTTGGCTACTGTCTCCAATCCGGCCAGGAATCCGGCCGGATTGCGACGTGGCAGTATTGTTCATTTTCAGTTTCGTTTTCATTACCAATTTTCTTTTCATGGTAGTGCTTAAGGGATGTCCTATTTCACCATGTGGTTTGGTAAGTTATATTTGAGTTGGTGGCCTTTAATTGTTCGTTTTCTTGGGGGTTGATCGCGCGTAACATAGGGTTTGTGTGATTCGACTCCGTAGTCCTGGCGAGAGTTGGGCAGGCGGTCCGCTAACCCCTTTGATTCGCTTTAGGGGGAGGTGAGGTTGTCACAGGTGGTATCAGGGCCATTTCGCGTCGTCTCTGCGCGGAGTGAGCTTGGGCCTAGTGGTGTTATGGTCTCGATTGTATGAATAAGTGTAAAGGAATTAGTGCTGTTTTTTCGGCTTAGGCTATGAATCGTGTCCGTTATAAGTGTAAATCCCTTATTGTGGTACTTGCGAAAGATAGATATGTATGTCAGGTAGAAATCTTTAACAGGGATGATTTACTCTTTGGACCGGCCGGCTCGAGTTGTGAATTATCTTCTTTGGGATTCTTGTACCCGGCTACTAAAGAGATGAAAGCCTAGGTTAGAAAGGACTTGGGCGAAATAGAAATGTGATTCTATGGAATTTCGTGTGATTTGTTCGGGTGTCATTAAGTATGAGTAACCCTGTCTAAGATATGAATTGTGTTATTCTCATAGAGTATGGACGGAACCCTAGAGGGGGAAAGCTTTTTTTTAGTTGCTTTTGAACCTTTGGCCTAGTTGGTATATAGTACTTTTGATGACCCAGATACTTTCATGGAATTCCCTTTTGCTTGTATCTAACTGACTATTATCGTGTGATTTATTTGATAAAGTTGTGTTATATATATATGCTTTTGATCTGTGTGTACTTTTGTTACTTACTTATGCATATAATTATCTTTAATGTTCTATTCACGCTTCAACCCTAGATTGGTTAGACAAATGGAAGGTATTCGTAGTGGACAAGGTCGCGGGTGCGGACGTAAGCAACCCTCGAATGAAAGGGGTAATCGCGAACCCACGCCTGAACCAAATCCTGAACCTAGGGTTGACCCAAATGCTCAGGCAGCCGCTGCTGTCCAGCGCATGACCGATCTGTTAGCCCATATAGTGGAACACCAGGGCCAAAACCCTAATCCTCAACCTGGAAACCCTGGTAACAATGTAGAGGGGGAGGATAGAGCCCTCGAAAGGTTCCAGAAGTTCTCCCCACCAAAATTCCTTGGAGAACCAGACCCTGACGTGGCTAAGAGGT